CGAGTACTGGTGAGCCCAAGGCAACACCTTGCTACTCTGACCAATCAGAATGGACTTCCCCAATATAGCACCTCCCCTGACCAATCGGGATGGACTTGAATGTAAATCCCAGAGGCTCCAGTTGTGCAGGGCAAGCCCGTTAGTTGCCAGACTCTGGAGTTTTCAAGGGGGCAGGGATTTTGGAGGCTGGAGTGGAGGGCACTTGGGCATTGAAGGGGGATACTGTTTGCTAATTGGTATGGAAAGAGTTCAAGACTTTGTGCAACCCACACAGTTATTCTGTTACTGCCGGCCACATGTCAGCATGAGTAGAAGATGTAGAAATCACTCAGGTTGGGAGGGAACCCAGCCTCATTTGTAAGAATGAGTCTGAAGAGCTGGTCTCCTTTAGCTCCCAAGTTATTCCACCCACCCTGGGCTTAAAGCAATCAAAGTGCACCCACCATTCAGATGAAGGATTAAGGGTGAGAGGTGACTGCCCGATGAGCTCTGCCTAAGATTAGGAACTTCGCTTGTGATGTAATTCATTTCATTCCCACAGTTGTCTTGGGAAGCATGAAAGCAGTGGTGGTTATTATTTGCTCCCATTTTAAAGATGAAGAAACTGAGCCCCAGAGAGACTTGGTACTGCTTCCAGGATTTTGTAGCTGGTCAGCGATTTCAGGAGTTTATACAACCACTCAGTTGAAGGCGAGGAGTGGCATTTGGAGGCCTGTGGCCATCTCCAGTTTATGCAGAGGGGAACTTTTAACACTCAGAAAGAAACAGGGAAAGGATCTAGCCTCAAAGTGTGTTTGGCTCGCTGACTTCACTCAGTTGGCCTCAGCACCTAAGTTCACCAGGGCCTCGGACTGACACATCCCGTTTGTTTCCTGCCACCTTCCTCACCTTGACCCCTAGGACCCTCTTTGCACTCCCTGATTGGCTCCCTGTCAGCACGAGCCCAGGGTCCTCCTGCCCCATCCTCCACACTCCCTAGCAGGTTTGAGCCACCTCTGGATTAGGGAGGCGCTAATGATTTGATAGCTTAGTCTGGGTTTTAATTGACCTCTTAGCTAAGTTGGAAAAATTCCCTCTCTCAAATAGCTCTTTTATCTCCCGGCCCCTGCCACCACTTTAATTATACTAAGTCCTCATCAGATGCCTCAAATGAAAGGGGAAAAACAGCAAGAAGACAGGATACTGGGACAGGCTGAGTTTCATTTCTAGACCATTTGGAACTCAATTGCTTGTTATCACCCTCTGAATCACTAGCTTTTACCTGGAGATTAAAAGGCATCCCCTGAGGCCACTTGAAATGAACAGTAAGGCATACAGGAGCTTAATCTTCTCAGTGGTCATGAAGCCTGGGTTTTATGGAACATTGCCTTCTCCAGCTTCCAATTTCCCATCTCAGGCCATCCATTCCCTTGGCAAAAATGGTGCCCTGGGAAAATTCACACCTCCACAAAGTGGTTAATGGTGCATGTGACAGTTTCAAAACCATAACTAGAATGACATGTTCCCAACATTAAATTAACCTTTGGTGGAAGGACACCACTGATTAGACTTGAAACTTTTGAGTTCCAGATGCTCTCAGGGTGAATACTTCTGTTCCATCCATCCATCCATTCATCCACCCCTTCCTTCCTTCCTCTCTCTTTCAGTAAAATTGAATACTTTTAAAGTTTTTGCTTTTAATATAAATTATAAATCTTGAAACTTTAACATCTGTGTCTCTCATAAAATTGGAAAAGCCACAAGTTGAAACAACATACTAATGTATAATTCAAGAACAATTATAGAGAAAGAACACATGTTTAATACAACTATTTTATATCCAGTGTGGTGTCACAGAACCCTGATACGCAGTTTCTTGGGGTTTGGAGGAGTCTAACAGGGCTTGATCTTCTGAGGGCTGGTACAACTTAGCTGTATGAATTTTGGATTAAGAAACATCAGTGCTAATAAAATGTTCATCTTTAGCTGTCTGTATTTACCAACCTCTGAGAGTTGGTGCTGGACAGGGAAGCCTGGCGTGCTATAGTCCGTGGAGTTGCAAAGAGTTGGACACAACTGAGAGACTGAACTGAGCTGATTTACCAACCTGGATGGGTTTTGATGAAAGGTGATAGACCCAGGGTGAGAAAACCTGACAATGGCTGCGGCAATTATAACTGATGTCTGATAAACAGTCACAAGCCAGGCACTCTGCTGACTGCTTTCCAGGCATTATTTTACTTAGTCCACCCCACAACTCAAGGTAGGAGATGCTATTACTGCCCCATTTTACAGATGAAGACGTAGAGGTTTGGGTGCCAGGAACTTGCCCACAAACTTGCCCACTGGGCTTGCCAGGTGGTGCTAATGTTAAAGAACCCGCCTGCCAATGCAGGAGATTCAAGAGAGGGGGGTTTGATCCCTGAGTCAGGAAGATCCCCTGGAGGAGGAAATGGCAACCCACTCCAGTATTCTTGCCGAGAGAATTCTATAGACAGAGGGGCCTGACAGGCTGCGGTCTATAGGGTCACAAAGAGTCGGACATGACTGAAGTGACTTAGCGCACATGCACGCAACTTGCCCACAAATAGGCATGCTGCTATTACATTGCTTTGTAACCTTGGACCATTTGTTAGTGGAATTCTTAAGTCGTTGTTCAGTCACTAAGTCGTGTCTGACTCCTTGCAACCCCATGGACTACAGCACACCAGGCTCAGCTGTCCTCCGCTATCTCCCAGAGTTTGCTCAGTCTCCTGTCCATTGAGTCGGTGATGCTATCTAACCATCTCATTCTCTGCTGCCCCCTTCTCCTCCTGCCCTCGATCTTTGCCAGCATCAGGGTTTTTCCAGTGAGTTGGCTCTTCGCATCAAATGGCCAAAGTATTGGAACTTCACCTTCAGCATCAGTCCTTCCAATGACTATTCAGGGTTTATTTCCTTTAGGATTGAGTGGTTTGATCTTGCTGTCCAAGGGACTCTCAAGAGTCTTCTCCAGCACCACAATTCGAAAGCATCAACTCTTCAGCACTCAGCCTTCTTTATAGTCCAACTTTCACATCCGTACATGACTACTGGAAAAGCTATAGCTTTGACTTTATGGACCTTTGTTGGCAAAGTGATGTCTCTGCTTTTTAATATGCTGTCTAGGTTTGTCATAGCTTTATATGGCTCTAAAAATGTAGGTCAGTCTTTGACCTTGGCAGCTCCCAGGCAGAGTATAGCCTGCAGGAGAGTTTTGGGTTGGCCTTCACAGTGTTATTAAAACAATGTGAATGATGTGAAGTTTGGAAGAGTCAGTTTGGGAAACAGCAGTATCTGCTACACTGAACTCAGCCACCGTAGGGCCTGGCAATTCCACTCCTAACTCTTCCCGGAAGATGGTGAATACCACTGCCAACCGAAAACTTGCAGACCAGAAGAGTGTCCCCGGCAGCTCCATTTGGAGTAGCCCAAACATGGAACTATCCAAATGCCTGTCCACATGGGTATATTGATTCCTCTCTTGTCATATAGTAGAAAATTCTACACCAGTAAAGATGACTGACCCTCCTCTATATGTCAGTATGAATCTCACAAGTACCTTTGAATGAAAGAAGCTAGGCGTGAAAGAATATACAGTGATTGATTGCTTTCATAGAAAGGACTAGAAAGGCAAAGCTAACCTGCGCTGATGGAAGTCAGAATTGAGGTTACCTTTTCAGAATGAGAGGAGAATGTAATCATGTGATCAGTGAGATGGCGCGTGAGAAGGGGTTTGGGTTGCTGGCAGGGTCCCTGACTTCTCTGAGTGGTGGTTACATGAGTCCATTTGCTTTGTGGAAATTCATGAATCTCTGTGCTCTTTTTTTTTTTTAAATGTAGCCCTATCATTTTTTTGGAGCAGCTTTGTTTGAGATGTAAGTTATATATCTAAAATCCACCCAGGAACCGTGTAAAACTCACTGGATTTAGTATGTTCACAGAGTTGTGCCACCACATCTAATTATGAAGCGTTCTCATCTACGCCAATGGCAAGCTGGTGCTGCCTGCCGTCACCCCCTGTGGACCCCCACGCTCAGCCCCGGGCACCCAGTGATGTGCTGTGTGGGTCACACACTCTCTTTTACTGGCTCTTTTGTAAACTTAGGTAGAGTTGATTTTCAGTGTTGTGTTACTTTCAGATGGACAGAAAAATGACTCAGTTGTGTATGTGTATGTATGTGTGTGTAAAATACGTATTTTTTTTCAGATTCTTTTCTGTTATAGGTTATGACAAGATATTGAATATAGTTACCTGTGCTATACATCAGGTCCTTGTTGGTTATCTATTTTTACATATAGCAGTGTGTATCTGTTAATCTCAAACCTCTAATTTGTCTCCCAACCCCTACCTTTCCTGTTTGGTAACCATCAGTTTTTTTTTTTTCTGTGTCTGTGAGTGTTTCTATTTTGTAAGTATGTTCATCTGTATCATATTTTAGATTCCACACATAAGTGATATCAGATGATACTTGTCTTTCTCTGTCTGACTTGCTTCATAAGTATGCTAATCTCTGGGTCTGTCCATGTTGCTGCAGATGGCATTATTTTGTTCTTTTTATGGCTGAGTAGTACTCCATTGTATATGCATACCACATCTTCTCTATCCATTCATCTGTCAGTGGACATTTAGGTAGTTCTGTGTCTTGGCTGTTGTAAATAGTGCTGCTATGAACTTTGGGGCACATATATCTTTTTGATTTTAGAGTTTTTTGTTTTTTCAGGGTATATGCCCAGAAGTTGGATTGCTGGATCATATAGTAGTTATATTTTTAATTTTTTAAGGGACCTCCTTCCTGTTTTCCATAGTGACTGCACCAAGTCACATTCCTACCAGTAACGTGGGAGGGGGGGTCCCTTTTCTCTACACCCTCTCCAGCATTTATTGTCTGTAGAGGGTTATACACTCTAAAGCGTGCATACAGTTATATTTAAGTGAAAGCGTTGCTGAAGTGGCCGGTGTACCTGGTCGGATCTGCACTGAGCCCCTAGCTCCTATGGTCTTACACTTGCCTGTCCTGTACGTTTATGTCCTCTGCCTGCGTGCCACAGGCATTCAAATCCCTGGCTTCGGGAGCAGAGTCTTGAGAGTGTTTTCCAACTGGATTCTCTCTTGTTTCTCGTTTCTTCTGCTGAGAGCAGGTCTGGGCCACATCGTCCTTTAATTTAGACGACACAGCGGAGATGTGTTTGACGGCCAGATGCTGAAGTGGGTCAGGTTGCTCTGTGTCTGCATCAGGGCCCTCCCCGGACAGCAGGTGCCCATCTGGAGACTCCTTCACTGACTTCTCTGACTCCACTGCCCCTGGGCTGCTGCTCCGGGTGAGAGAGACGTCCGTCTCCTGTCCCCTCCCCTTTGTGCCAGGTCAGTAGGATGGGAACCCAGCACCAGGCTGGTCTCAGAAGGACAAGACAGTGGAGGGAGCAGAGAGCTGTATGTCTGGGCCACTGGAGGATATGAGAGTGCCTTGGACTTGAGTCCCAGTGGGTGGGGAAGAAAAGTCAGAAGGGACGGGTTGTTCCCTTGGCTGGTCTGAAATTGGCAGTCAACCCCTGACCATCTTCCTTTGCAACAGACATGGAAGGTAGAAACTTCTCTCCTTATTTCTCAGGTGGGGAAACCAAGGCTGCTAAGGTGAACGAGATGGCTCAGTGGTAAAGAATCCATCTGCCAATGCAGGAGATGCAGATTTGATTTCTGGGTTGGAAAGATCCCCTGGAGAAGGAAATGTCAACCCACTCCAGTATTTCTTGCCTGGGAAATTTCATGGACAGAGGAACCTGGTGGGCTGCCGTCCATGGGGTCACAAAGAGTCATGCTGAGTGATTGAGCGCGCACACACACACACACACACACACACACACGAAACCCACCCAGGGACTTAAGACAGCAATGATTTGTGATTTTCCCACAATTCCGCAGCTGGGGTGCAGCTGGATGGTTCTACTGGTCTCCCCTGAGCCCAACTGTGCAGCCTGGAGCTTGGCAGGGAGCTCAGCTGTGGCCGGAGCGTCCAAGGTGCCCTCATTTGCTGGGGCATCTCTCCACAGAGCCCCTCTTTGGGAGGTAGTCTAGCCTGGACCTCTTCAGAGCATGGCAGCCAGGCTCCAAGAGAGAAGGTGAGAGCTGCCAGTCTGCTGATGACCTAGGCTCACTGCATGCTGTTGGTCAGACCAAGCCACAGACCGACCCAAGGTGAGTAGAACAGGCACCACTTCTGGGTATTGGGAGTGGCACATGCTTGCACAGTGGGAGGGTTTCCTGGTGGCCTGATTGGCCTGTGCCTTCCACAGAGGGGATTTGTGGTGCAGATGTTAGGGGCTGTACTTGGAGTACCGGCTGGGTGGGAGCCCAGAGAGGGAACAATGGACTTTGGCTGGGGTGGGGAAAGAGAGAAGGCTTTCTGGAGGATGTGGGACCTCGTCTTGGGTGGCTCCTTAGTGCAGTGATTGAGAGGGAGGCTCTGAAGTCATACTGCCTGGATTCACATCCCAGTTTTAGTTGCCAAGAGTTTGGACCAGTCACTTGAGCTCTCTGCCTCAATTTCCTCATCTGTGAAATGGGCATAACAATCACCCTTGCCTCATAACGCAACAGGATATTTCTGTAGTGCGCTCAGCACTCTGTCCAGCACATAGTGAGTTCTCAGATGTTAGCTGCCCTTGCTGTTACTGTGGTTAAAATCCCGGTGATAATGTGACATTGATGGTGTGGAGGATTATCCAGACTAAGAGGTATAGGAACAAGGGTGCTAAGCAGAGGGAGAAGTCTCTCCTCAATCCAAGAGCTGAGAGAACCTGATACCTAGAAGGAATGGAAAGGAAGCTTGTATAGCAGATGGGCAGAATTTGGGGGGATGGTGGTCACAGGCCGGAGAGGTAGGTGGGGGTAGACCAGAAAGCCTTTGTGAGGCGAGGAAAGGATTTGAGGATTTTATTTTAAGGGTAGCAGAGACCCATTGGAGCAGGGCCCTGATGGGGCCAGGGTGATGCTTTGTTGTGATCTGGCCGCAGTGGTGGCAGTGAGCAGGGATGGGTGGGTCAGTGAGTGTGGGGGCCTCTGCCTCATCCATGGCAGAGGGAAAGCGCAGGGGGCCTGGCGGTGGCAGAGAGGATGGTCAACTGGGAGGGCTTCAATGCTGCAGTAGCATGGGTGGCTGACTCTCGGCATTTGACAGAACACGAAGGATGGAGGAGAGGGCAGCCTCCTGAGTCTCTGGTGTGGGGGTCGGGGTGGATCCTCTGAGGACCAGCTTGGGCAGGGGATGATGACGGCTTCAGTTGTGAAGATGCTGTGTTTGGGGGACCAGTGGAGCCTCCATGCCCTGACAAGTGAGCTTCTATTGGTAGATGGAAGGACATGTAGATGGAGAGAAGAGATGCCCATGTGCAGGGTCAGGAGGACAACATGCATGGGGCTTGGGGGCCTGCAGCCTCAGGCTCTGTCCTCAGACAGGAGAGGAATTCCTTTGATGGCAACACAGTGAGTTTAAGGCCCAGGAGCACGAGGAGGGTGAGAAATGAGGCTGAAGAGTCACGCCAGGACCATGACGTGAAGGGACTTGGAGTGCCCTGGAATTTGCACGTGTGTTGAGAGCTGCAGATTACCCGCTGAGGGCTTTAAGCAGAGAAGTGATGTGAGAAAATCTTTTTTGTTGTTGTTTGGAAGGAAGCCAGAGTGCAGAGGGATCCCCGCTGGTGGTGGGAGAAATTAATGCTAATGCTTTGAACCCAGATTATCAAGCCCTGTGATAAAGCCGCTAAGTCAATAGTGGGCGTGGGGAGCCAGGCATCAGGTGGGGAACTCATTAAATATAGATATTTGCCCATGAGTTAAGACGATTATGGAGTCTGGTTCCAAGGATTAGAGGCGCAAACAGCCTGTTGACTTCTGTCCCTTAGCAACAGAAGTCCTCGTCAGAAAGGTGTAGAGCAGCTGGGCCCCACTTCAAACACAGAAGGGAGTTATTTAGCATCAGCATTCTCCAGCCAGATTAATCTGGCAGCCACCTCATGGAGATTTCACATCTTTCCTTCCTTCCATCCATCTACTCTTCTTCCACACCATTCACTCATCATCCCAGCCATTCCTCCCCCTAGCTTTCCTTCTCTCTCTTTCTATTCCACTATCCTTCTCTCATCAACCCATTCTTTCTCCCATCCATCCACCCAATCTTCCAACCACCTATCTGTTTCAATCAGCTCTTCCATTTTTCCTTTCATATGCCAATTTCCCACCCATCCATCCTTCTATCCAACCATCATCCATCCATCCATATCCATCCGTCCATCCGCACTTCCTTCCCTTTACCCACTCATTATCCTATCCACTCATCCTTCCATCTTTCCTCCCATCCACCTAGCCTTCCCACCCAAATGGATGTTTATCCATCACCCATATTTTCATCCACCCACCAATCTGTCCATCTATCCATCCTTCCATCCAGCTATCTACACCATGATGCTTCCATCCTTCTGTCCATCTTCTCATCCATCCATTTCCCCATCCACCATCCTTTTATCTTTCTTTCATCCAACAGTCTTCATCCATCCATGTGTCTCCATCCATAAGTATTTGGATGCCTACTGTATTTCAGGTTCTGTTCTGGGCACTCAGAAGTGACTAGCATGCAAGATAGATGAAGTCTCTTCACTCATGCAGCTGACCTACTTGAGCAGGAGACAGGTAGTAAAAAAAGGTTAAAAAAAAAAGAGTGATGGATGCTAGAGACATCCTGGACATCCATCCAGTCTATGAGATTGACTGGATGACTGCTTTCGGTAGAGTAGTTGGGAAGACCTGTCTCTCTTTTTCTGAGGAGGTGATATTAAGCTGCAACCTAAATGGTCAGGGGACAAACATGAACACTGTTTTGGTGGTGGGAGGAGAGCATTCTAGATGGAGAGGGTAGCAAATGAAAAGGCTTGGTCCACGAACGAGTTTGGTGTGTTTGACAGACAGCACAGTGGTGGGGCTGGGAAGGGAGAGGCCAGCAGACAGCAGAGGGTGATGACCTGCAGGAGGATGGGGCCAGGTCCCAGGACTCTGGACGTCAAGCTGAGAGGTACAAAGAGAGGTCAGCCCTGGGGAGAGTGACCCGACCTGACCACGTGAGTGTCTCCAGCCCCATCTTCCCTGCCTTTGTCCTGTATTATTTTCTTATTGCTGCTCTAACATGCTACCACAAATTAGTGGCTTAAAGCAACACAAATGTATTATCTTACAGCTCTGATGTTCACACGTCTGAAGAGGGTTTTACGGAGTTAAACCAAGGTGAAACAAACATACTAGGCATCCTGTTGCAGAACTCGTTGTTACCTCTTGGCAATATATTAGGAACGTTTTCCCAAGTCAGTAAGCAGACCAATTCCCCGTTTCAGTAGCGTGTGGAATCCCAGTGTCTAAATACATCTAATTCTGTTAACCGAGGAGGGGGGACATTTGTCCCCCTACCCCATTCCCATGTTTTGCAGTGATACACAGTGCGGTGATGGGCTCCCTTGAACAGGCATCTTTCTGGATTCATCTTTATTGCTGTTTGCTTACCATTCAGGCACAGGGACTAAGTCAGACCAGTCACTCTTTAGTGCAAAACACTGACTTCTTTCTCCAGCAGTGGCAGGCTGCTTCCAGCAGGGGGTGTTGTGAGTCAGTCCTACAACTGTCCTTGACACCTGGTATTCGCTTCATAATTAATGATAGGTTCCAGTCCCCGCAGAGTAGTGCCCGGGGCCCCTAACTTTCTCAGGGTCTGTTGGCAAGTCTGAAATCTGTTGGAGATTTCAGATGTCTCCCTCCTCCCTTCTTTCCTTCCTTCGGTCTCTTTCTTTCTGAAGATTTCATTATGCTCACTTCCTCTACCCATCCTGGGCCACTTTTCTGAGACTTCTATTAGACATGTTTATCAAGAACTGGAGATGTCACTCCTCGATTTCTGGAGGGCTGGAACAAGTGTGAAGGGGCATCGCTGGAAGCAAACTGCTTGGTGCTTGCCTCTGCAGGGTCCTCGCTCAGTGAGCAGACGACCCTGGAGGCAGGTAATAGGAAAGATGCTCTGGTCGAAGGGAGGGGGCTCATGGCTCTCGGGGGTAGGGGCTGAGAGCCTCATGCATTTGTCCTCCAAGGAGCTGCCACCTCCTCCTTTCCCCAACCCTGGGAGGTCTGGGCTCTGACACTGGACAGTAGGATTTAGCTAAAAGCAGGGAAGGGCACTGGGGGAGAAGGCAGGACACTGGGAAGCCACGTTGCCAAGCATGTATCTGGGCTGCTTGGGCATCAGACACAGGGCACACACTGTGATTTCACCACCAAGAAGATGCCTGGGGAGGATCCAGATTCCTATGCAGTCCCTGGGGAGCAGAGCAGAGTGTGTGGACACTTCTACCTGCCTCCAGGGGGGAAAGTTCTCTTGGGCTGGCCCAGGGTGACCCAGGGTACAGGAGCTGGGCATTGTGTCGAAGGGGAGTTTTTGGGTCAGGGAAGCTGGGGCCTATGTGACTCTAGGTACTCGTGTGTATGTTCGGAGTGGGAGATCTATGTCTTGGGCCATCAGGTGACTTGGGACTCATCTCCGTGTTCACGTGTCAGGGCAGCAAATGGCAGAGCCCTGGTGACAGTGTTCTGATTATGATGGAGCCATCTCAGCCCTTGATGACCCTGGGCAAGCTACCTCTGAGCCTCGGCTTCCCCATCGGTGACACGAAGCTGATAATAGCACCTGCCTCATAGAGTTATCATCTGCATTGAGCATATGACGTTCTTGGCTTAGAGTAGGACTGCGTAAGTGTGAGTGTTGTTATTGGTAGGCTCCCCTGGTGGCTCAGACAGTAAAGCCTCTGCCTGCAGTGCAGGAGACCGAGGTTTGATCCCTGGGTCAGGAAGATCCCTTGGAGAAGGGAATGGCAACCCACTCCAGTCTTGCCTGGAGAATTCCATGGACAGAGGAGCTACAGTCCATGGGGTTGCAGAGTCGGACATGAGTGAGGGACTGATACTATAGTTATCACTGTCCGTGCCATGCACACAGAGTCCACAGATTTCCTGTCCCAGGGGTGAAACTGCCAAGAATAAGGGGTGTGGGTAGCAGTGGGTCACAGGTTCTCTGTCACCTTTGAGCGCTTGGCTGCTGCCTCGGCCCCTATCGGGCTGGGTGTCGGGCACCCGCTCTGCACAGCCCCCTTCATAAAAGCTTTCAGCCTTGGTCAAGAGTGCAGCTGGTCCCTCTGACATTGACACACGTCTCTCTGTGTCCAAGACGTGCTCATCAGTCATTCACTCCTGTCTCCATTTCCTGTCCTTCTGACTGATCCGCGGGCGCGTGAGATCATTCCCTAGATTTTTTTCCCAGTTGCCTTTTGTTATGTCCCCAGATCACAAGCGCCATGAATGTCAGTTATTTAGACCAACTTTCCAATTTTCTATAGAGATCACCATGATTGACATGTAATAAAAACACTGACTGTGTGTTATATTCTATACAAAGTCTTTATAGATTTTTTTAAAGTTTGCACACCAGTCCTATGGGGCAGAGGCCATTATTGTGCACTTGATGGTGGGGTGTGTGTCAGAGCGTGGATGCATTTGTGCTCCAGGGGACATTTCTGGGAAGTGGCAGAGCTGGGATTTGAACCCAGGGCCATGGTCTTAGTAATAGGCGATCATTGTAGACAAGTTGGAAACTATAGATTAGTAATAAAGGGGCTAAAATGAAATCCACCCAATTCTACCATCCAGTGAAAGCCACCATGAGCATTCTTTTTGTTTTGGCAGTGATAGTCCCTCTTTTATTTCTAGTTATAATAACATTTGTCATATTGATTTTTCTTCATGAGTCTCATTTGAGACTTGTCCATTTTACTGATCCTTTTAAAGAACAAATTATAGTGTCATTAATTTTCTTAATTACTTTTATGTTTTTAATTTTATTAATGTAAGCTTTTCTGTTTATTTTTATGATTGACCCTCTCTTCCTCTTGCTTTAGGTTAACTTTGTTCTTTTTTTTTCTAATTTCTATAGCTAGAAACTTAAATTATTAACTTGAGATGTTTCTTTTATTCTAATATAAGTGTTATAAATATGCCTCTAAGCACTGCTTTAGCTACATAGTATAAATTTCTATATGTGATATTTTCATTTTTATTTGGATCACAGTTCTTTCTTAAGACCTCATCTTTGACTTGTGGATTATTTAGAAGTGTTATTTAATGTCCAGGTGTTTGAGGATATTTCTTTTGTCTTTCTTCCATTTATCCTATTTCAATTCCATTATGGTCAGAGAGCATACTTTGTATGATCTGATGTCTTTTAAATGTGTTAAGGTTTATTTTATGATGTAATATATGGTTTATTTTGGTGAAAGCCCCATCTGCACTTGATAAGAATATGTATTCTTCTGTTATTGAATGGAGCATTGTACAATGTCTTTTTGTTGTTTAGTTGCTAAGCTGTGTCCGACTCTTTTGTGACCCCATGAACAGTAGTAGCCTGCCAGGCTCCTCTGTCCATGAGATTCTTCAGGCAAGAATACTGGAGTGGGTTGCCATTTCCTTCTCCACACCAAGCGTGTGTGTGATGGGAGAGCCAAGGCTGTGGATGGTGTCACTGTCTGTCCAGCTTGGGGCCTCCTTCCTGCCCCCCTGACATGTCACACGTCACTGTGGCTTGGTGGAGCTGGGTGGCCCCAACACCACAACTCTGGAACACACCCCCTATCTATTTGCATTTATTAATATGCTTGGGGAGACTTTGTTATGTTAGGTTCAAAGAGTGACCACAGTCTTTGGGAGGAAGAGCTGTCCCAGAGAACAAAGAGCCTGAATTGCCTGGGGGTCAGGGAGGAACAAGCCTAGTGTGCGGTCCCCTGGAGCCTCACAACGAGCCTGCTTTCCAAGAGAGCTCGGAACTAGAACTTGGAGTTAGCACAACTGGACAGAATTTCCTGAGTGTCCTGATATGCAAGGCAGAGCCATGAGGTCCCACATAGCATGGCTGAGAAGCTGTTTCTTGGTTTTGTTCCACAGAGTAAAAACCCTTTGGCATGTCAGTTACATTACGATGCTTACAACAAACCAAGCAGGTGCTCATCTCAGGGCCTTGGCACCTGCTTTGTCCATTGCCTGGAAAATGCCTTGACCTTCTCTCCATACAGGTGATTCATTTTCATCACTCTGATCTTGGCTAGGATGTCACCTGCTCAGACAGACCTTCCCTGCCCACCTCCATATCATTCCCCCTGCTCATGATTGCTTTATTGTCTTAATAGCACCCACCACCCTGAGATCATCTTGTTCATTCATTGGTTTCTTGTTCTGATAGGGGGAGCAACACTCCCTCTCTTCCTATGAGAATGCAGGCTCTCCAGGCCTACAGGAATACCTGGTACATAGTAGATGCTCAGTAAATACATTTAACAAATGAATGGAAAATTTCTGCCACTGTGGTTTGGGTTCTGTCAGCTTTTGATCCAGTTAGAGGAAACAAAAGAGGAAAGGCAGGCATTGTGTGTGTGTGTGTGTGTGTGTAAGGAATGGGGGCTGTTTTGTAGTGACTGCCTGTCTACCTGTATTTGATGGGCCTGTTTCCCCTAGAGCCATCCTCCTCTCCTGCTGTGGGGAACTCTACAAGGGGACTAATTCCAGTGGGCAGTCCACCCCCAGCTGTCCTGTCTCTGGCCTCCGCCAGTGGGAGGCCCTGATGGAAGGCGGGAGGGCAGGAGGCAGAAGCAGGGGAGAGGGGTCTCTCCCCATCTCTACACTAGGGGCAGGGCCCTGAGCAGTGGCTGTGTCTCCTCTGTGGTTCCGGCGTCACCAGGCATCATCCTCCTGTGACCGCATCCCATCTCCAAATCACCTCCCACCGGGGGGTGGGGCAGCGCGTCTTGCTGTTGTTTGTCTCCAGGTCACTTCACTGTCCCTTGTTCGGCTTCTCAGCTCTCCCGTAGTTTGTGTGACCAAGTCCTGGCATTAATTCACCTGCTTTAAATGTGCATCATTGTTTCCGTCCTCCTGTGATACAAAAATCCATGCCTCTGCAATAAGAAAAATAGTTGAATAAGAGCCAGAAAAGTGGCTGGGGGTTGACTTTTGAGGAATGGATGCAGAAGAACAGGACAGGGGCCCCGAGCAAGGCTGTCACCTTTCCCGCCTGCTGGCCAGGGCTGGGAGCCCGCATGCCCAGCCAGGCAGAAATCGCTTTCTAAATGACTGTTCCCATTACACAGTGATTTATGGTAGGGCAGCATGTTTCTGCCAAGCGACAGATTCATGTGCACCAGGCACTGCTTAATAAGGGTCAAGGATTCTTTCCATCTCTTCTTTCTTTACCCTGCTGTCAAGCTAGAGCATTTTCCAAGGTCCCTGCGGGGAAGGGCAGGGTGCCCTGCTGTGTCTGTGTTGACCACTCCCCACCAAGTGACCTGAATCACTGACCCCCCAGAAGGGAGAGGCAGAGGAAGGAAGGAGGGGTTTGCATGGAGTCATCATGTGGGTTTTGATAGTGGTGTCCCTGTGGCCAAATGGAACCCCACCAGGTTCCCTCTATCTCTCAGGGGGGCTCCTGGCTCTGGGGGCTACTGGCTGTCAGGCAGATCAGTGTCCTCAGCTCTTGGGAGATGCTGGATGTCTGCAGAAAACCCTGGCTCAGCCCACGCTGAGGCTCCTCCCCTGCCAAGGCAGTGCCATCACACCTCTGGGAAGCAGGCTGGCCAAGTACCCAGGCAGACCTGGGTTCACATCCTGCTCCTGCCAGTTGGAATCGGGCAAGTGTCTTCGCTTCACAGCCTCAGTTTCCTCTTCTGCTGAGTGGGATAATGTTGTAGGAGCTGCCTCAGAGTGCTGGTCTGAGGATTAAGGACAGGCCTACATAAAGTGCCTAGTACAAAGCATGGCACATAATAGGTATGTGCCTACTCAAGAAATGTGAGTCCCTACTCTCTTTCCCCTGTAGCTTCTGCTTTCATAGATGCTCATCAGCCAGATTAGACAGAAACTTGGTTTTTATCCGTCAGGATGTATGCAGCAGTCACTAACAAATAGCTCCAACTCTCCTGGCTTAACCCTAAGGAAAATTAGCTTGTCCCTTGTTCTAAGAAGCCCAGAGGTAGGACAGCTCCAAGACTGACTAAATTCAACAGCTCAAAAACATCCCCAAGAATTCAGGGTTGTGTTTTTATTCCCATGCAACTATTTCAGTGTTGGCCTCACTCTCTGATCAGCTATCCTTGTTGGGGCAGAGTGGCTGCTACAGATCCTGGCATTACAACCTGACTGAGTAAAGTCTAGATGCACAGATGGATCACCACTTTTCCACAGGTCTCGGTATGAGGACCACTTTCCCAGAAGCACCGCCCCTGACTTCTTCTCACACCTCATTGGCCCAGATCAGATGACAGACCCATTCCTGAGCCAATCACCAGTAGGGGTCGGGTGATACTACATGATTGGCTCCAGCCAATCATCCAGGTGGTCAGAGCTGTAGGGGGATCATTCACCCTCATCACTAAGTGACTGATCTTAAAAATCCTGCTCCTACCATCTTTTTCTCCAGTTCCTCCCCTCATTTAAGGATACAGGAAGAGCCTGCTTCTCACCCCTCCAGACCTTCACAATTTTACCTCCCAGCAGGATGGGGCCAGAGGCAGGTGGCCCCTTCCCGGAAGATTCTCCCCACCTTGTTGCTCCTCCCCACCTTTGGTTTAGTCAACCGCTGGACTCTACTCCTCCCCATCTCTGGTTTAGACATCATCCCCTGGATGCTGCTCCTCCCCACCCAATCTGAAAGGGATTCCCCGTCCCAGAAGATACCCCACAGTCACTGCCTCAGACTTTTGGGTCATTTCAGCACGTAGCACAATTTACCTGCTTTCTTGGTCTGTGTCTTCCCACTGGACCATCCCCTTTGTGACAGAGGGGATCTCCCCCACTTTATCCAGTACTCTATGTCACAGGATACAGAGATCCTAATGGCCCCAGGAAAGCACAAGATAAGGCTGGTGTGTACCAACGTGGGAAACATTTGGTTCCCAGGAAAGTCAAGCCTTTCCTTGGGGAAAGGATTGTGAAATCTCCCGCTTACCTCCTAGGCCTTATATCAGCAAAAGGGAGTGTTTTGACGTCTAGCTTTTCTGGAATCAGAGTTGGTTTTTTTTTTCCCCTTCATTAAAAAAAAAAAATGACATCCTTGGCA